CTTGTGTACTTGAACTCAGGACCTGGGTATGCCCGTAAGTTTGTCACTCAAGGCCCAAATCTACCACTTTCACAGCTCCACCTCTGGCTTTCTAGTGATTATCCCGGCTAGCTTCAAACTGTGATCCTGAGATCTCAACCTCCTAAGTAGCTAGGATTATAGTTACAGGTCACCTGGGCTAAGCAATTTGGAGTTCATAGACTAACAGAAATATCAAAACTTGGACTTAGTTATTTAATAAAATTTACATACAATTTAGTATATTGCAGTTACAAATACTGTTGTTTCCGCCACAAAAAAAAAATTAACAATTGGTGCCAAATAGGAACTGTTCACATTATCTGAAAATAAGAGCAACATAATAGGAAATAAGACATAGACATAATGGGACAGAAAGCCTGACACCAGTGGCTCACACCTATAATCCTAGGAGGCTGAAATCTGAGGATCATGATTCAAAGTCAGCCTAGGCAGAAAAGTCCTCCTGAGACTCTTATCTCCAATTAACCTCCAGAAAAAACGGAAGTAGCACAGTGGCTCAAAGTAGTAGAGTGCTAGCCTTGAGGGAAAAAGCTCAGGAATAGCACTCAGGTCCTGAGTTCAAGCGCCAAACCAATCAAGAAAAAAAGGGACAGAATAAGAAGGAAACTCCATGAAGTCAATGTATGTGCCTCTTTACAACTTCATACTTCTTATAGTTTCTGATTTCACTGATTCACAACTAGCAAAACATCTAAGAGAGATTTTTGAGTTTTTTGTTCTATTTTGGTCACTAGTGGGGCTTTACTGAGGGCCTTGGCACTGACTCTGAGCTCTTTTTTGCTCAAAGCTAGCACTCTACCACTTCATGCCACTTCTAGTTTTCTGGTGGTTTACTGGAGATAAGAGTCTCACTGAGGGGCTGAGAAGGTGGCTCAGTGGTAGAGCACTTGCCTTGCATGCATGAGGCCCTGGGTTCGATTCCTCAGCACCACATAAGCAAAAAGAAAAAAGCCGGAAGTGGTGCTGTGGCTCAAGTGGTAGAGAGCTAGCCTTGAGCTGAAGAGCTGAGGGACAGCACCCAGGCCCAGAATTCAGGCCCCACAACCGGACCCAAAAAAACAAAAAAGAAAAAGAGTCTCACTGATTTTTCTGCCTGGACTGGCTTTGAACCTTAATCCTCAGATCTCAGCCTCCTAAGTAGCTAGGATTACAGGTATGAGCCACCAGCTTGTTCTGGTTTTGGGGGGATTTTTGTGTTTTGTTTTTTGAGACAAAGTCTTGCTATACTGTCCAGAAGGGTCTCAGGATCCTGTAGGACCAAGATTTCCTCCCTTCAGTGTCTACAGTAGCTGAGGCTTCTGGCTAAGAGATCTTTTGTGATGGTCTGGAGCCAGATGAATTACTTTCTCTCACTTTCCAGATTTTCTTAAAAGGTTCCAAATAATGCTATAAAATTTGTAATATTCATAGATAAAATACTTCATGATGTAGGACATTTTAAATCTCTAATCAGAATATAAGTGATAGGCAAAGTAAAAATCTGAAAAAGAAATATAGCCTTACCAGGCACTGGTGGGTCACACCTGTATATCCTAACTATTCAGGAGGCTGAGATCTGAGGATCTCAATTCAAAGCCAGCCAGGGCAGGAAAGTCCATGAGACTCTTATCTCCAATAAACCACCAGAAAACCAGAAGAGGCACTGTGGTTCAAAGTAGTAGTGCACTGGCCTTGAGCTGAAGAAATCAGGGACAGTGCCCAGGCCCAAAGTTCAGCTCCCACAACCAACAACAAAAAATCTGAATCCTAACAACAGTAGTATTTTTATCCCTGCAAAATCACAACGCCTAAAATGTCCAAGTTGGTGAGAATTCAATTTTATACACCAAACAACTTTCAGAATACAGGTTTTACTAAACCAATTACAACCCCAGAGGTCTTTAATTAAGATTTAATGTTGTCTTGGAAGTAGTACAACTTATACTGAGTCATGTTACCTATAGGAGGATCACATGCTAGGAATTTTCCCATTTTTTGCCAAGGGCAATTGTAAACCTTGGTTTAATAATTCATAGAGAAAAAGTACTCCAATAGAGTGCTAGAGGCAGCAGAAACTAATAATTTAGTGATAATAAAATTTAAAAAGCATAAATCCTTTGACCTAAATCTTCCAGGAATTTGTCCTTCAAATAAGCGTGAAAATGAATGAAGTAAAATGACAGTTTACAAAGTACTAAAAAACTTTTTTTCCCATGCCAGTAATAGGTTTTTAAACTCCATGCTTCCAGCTCTTGCTTAGCTTTTTTAACTCAAGACTAGCGCTCTACCACTTGAGCCATTTCTTCCAGCATTTTACTGGTTAACTGAAAGTAAGAGTCTTTTAGATTTGTCTACCAAGTCTGGTTTGGAACCAAGATCCTCAAGTCTCAGCCTCCTGAGCAGCTACATTTAGGCATAAGTCACTGGCATCTGGCCTAGTGGAACTATTTCTTTTTTTTTTTTTTTTGGGTCCGGTCGTGGGGCCTGAACTCTGGGCCTGGGTGCTGTCCCTCAGCTCTTCAGCTCAAGGCTAGGGCTCTACCACTTGAGCCACAGAGCCACTTCCGGCTTTTAGTGGAACTATTTCTAAGAGCAGTTTTTAAATTCCATCCTTCCTTTTTTTGAGAGAGGGTCTGACCCACATAGCTCAGGTTAGCTTCAAACCTCCTGCCTCAGTTTCTGCAGTCCTAGGATACAGGTATCCACCACCGTGTCTAAGAGCAAAAAAAAAAATTTAAATAATCTAAACCATTTGGGAACTGGTTATAATAAGCTGCAATATTTTTGAATAATTAAAAGACCATGCAGCTTTTAGCAAATAAGATACCAGAAGAAACACCTTTTTGTTCTAGGAGTAGGAAAAAAGCTGTAAGACACACTAAATACAAAAAAAGAAAAAGAAAAAGAAAGAAAGAAAAAGTATGTATGTATAACAAGGGGATGAAGAAAAAAAATATATATATATATAATATATAATCTCTAGAATTCACCCAAAATGCTACTTGCTTAGGAAGTAGGACTAGGTAGGTGGGTAGCATAATAAAAGAAAAAAAATTGTCACTATACTCTTTGCATTTTGAACCACATATTAGTGGCTTGTCAAAATATTAAACTAATTTATGATGTAATTAAAAACCAGAGCTGGGCATAGTGGCTCAATCTGTAATCCTAGTTACTTAGGAGACAGATAAAGAATCATATCCCAAGGCTATCCCAGTCCAAAACAACATACAACTTAAGACCGAGTCCATCTCCACCAGTGACAGGCACCCGTTATCCCAGAGAAGCAGAAGCACAGATGAGAAGATCACAGTCATAAAGTGAGCCCTATCTCAAAAAAACAAAAGCTGGGTGTCAGTGGCTCATGACAGTAGTCCTAGCTACTCGGGAGGCAAGATCTGAGGATCACAGTTTGAAGCCAGTCAGAGGAAGGAAAGTCAATGACACTCTTATCTTCAATAAACTACTTAGAAAAAGCCATCAGTGATGCTGTGGCTCAAGTGGTAGAGCACTGGTCTTCAACATAAATGTTCAGGGTATGTCCAAGCCTTGAGTTCAAGAACTGGTGTGTGTGTGTGCATGCGTGTCCACGTGCACGCACACACGAACACATAAAGAGCCAAGGGCCACGCCAACTTCAAATCCCAGTACTGGGGTGGAGTGGGGGGGAAGCAGACAGTTCTTAAGGACTTATACATTGTGATACATTATAATCTCAGAAGATTACATTGTAATTAAGCACTACAAATTAGAGTAAGACCTTGTGCTATTTTTTTATTCATCAATTTATCCATATAATTAGTCAGATCAAAAAGCCAGAAGTGTGTTTGAAAATTCTTAAACTTCTCAGTTGTTCACAATAAGACAACTGTGGTCTAAAAAGTAAAATAACCTCACCTAAAGGATACAGTTTGAAGGTGGTAAAGTATGTATAGAATCTGATGCAAATTTCAATCTAAGCTCATATATTTCTCTCATCACCAAATGGTTTTTTAACTACAAGGAGCCAGCAAGTGTCAACCCTGGTCTAGCTGCATTTTGAGGATAATATGAATAGAAAGGTTTGTGTGAGCTGATATCCTATCTTTGTGAGACATTTTTCAGTAATCATGGGGGAGCCAGAAGGAGTAGTTTCTCAACCCTGTAAGTTTCAGCAAAATGTCAAGAGTAGTTAAAGCCATAAGATAAACCTGGGGGGTGGGGGAGAAAAAATGTTAAACAACTTAAAAAAAGCTAATATATGATGACATATAGAACATACACTTTCAAAAAAGTTCCATGATGTTTCTGGTACATATAGTATATTTAACATATAATACAAACATACATTGATATATAGTACATTTCCGTACATTTATAGTACATACATACATTTACTCTCTTGAGCTCTTAGGCAGGATGGTTTGAGAACTACAGCAAGGGAATTAAGATAGTGTTCTCTATGGCAGTCGACGAGCCTAGGAACAGAGCTAGACCTGCTATACTATGTGATCATAGATCAATTATTCAACCTTAGGCTCAAAGCCTCAGTTTCCTCATTTATAAAATGTGGTCCCTACTACTTACCTGGTAGTTTTTGAAGAGGTATATATTCAGCAAACTGCCTAGACTCTAGAAGAACTATAATAACTGGTCCACATTACTATAACTATCACAAACCTATCAGACTCTCTGACAGTGAGAAGGCATAGGCGTTCCCAATTAGTCACAGAAAGAAAATAGGCCAGGGGCTGGGAAGGTGGCTCAGTGGTAGAGCGCTTGCCTTGCATGCCTGAGGCCCTGGGTTCAATTCCTCAGCACCACATAAGCAAAAAAAGAAAAAAAGCCGGAAGTGGCGCTGTGGCTCAAGGGGTAGAGCGTTAGCTTTGAGCTGAAGAGCTGAGGCCTAGAGTTCAGGCCCCATGACCGGACCCAAAAAAAAAAAAAAAATAGGCCAATAGGATAAAACTACATAGGTGCATACTGTTCATTATACTCACATATTTCATTTCAAATTTCTTAGCCAACATTTCCACTTCTTTCCTCTCTTGTTGCTCATCATTAAATGGGTCTTCTGTCTGAACAAACTTCTTCTGATTCAAAGTAAATGGGAGAAGAAATAGAAGTGTAAGTATTAGTTCAATTAATTGTGCCACTCTTTCAGTATAATATATAACTGTATTCAATAGCATATTAAATATATTCAAGAACATATTATTAATGTGTAATTACTTCAAATTATTTTTATTTAGTGTTTAACATGTTTTTAGTCAATGAGTCAGCTTTTTCCTAATAATAACAAAAAAATCAGAAGCATTAAAAGTAGAGAAAATATTTGCAGGTTTACTAGACTTTTATCATTCTGTAACTTTTGGTGGCCAAGAGCTCAACAATCCAAATGGATACCATCTGCAAAATGGTATCATCCTCTCCTCCAATGTAGCAAGGTACCCTCCCAAAAACATTAGGTAAAAACGAAAACTTGTATGCCTCTAGCTAATGTCGACTAAGATTATCAATGAAAAGATCTCCAAATTATTGAGATGTCCAAATTATTAAAAGATCTCCAAATTATTAGAGAACCAACAGTTGATCATCTGCCCATGAATTACTACTACTCATGTCTCTGCAGCTGCACTGGCCTTCTGCTGAGACTCAAAACTGGCAACTTCTCTTATCAATTTCCTCCTGCCAATGGATGTCCATCAGGGGAAGACCATTTTTTTTAAACAAAGCTAGGACGGTGAAAACAGCTGCAAAAAGATTACATTATCATGGTTTTCTTCTAGTAGGAAAGAGTCAAAGTTAAAAATATAATATGTAGTTTGACACACAAGGCATACATACACACACAAGCTAGTATCCTAAATTTACCATCTATTGTCAAAACAAATAGGCAAACCACAAACAGGCAGCTCACTATTTTAGCAGTCAAATTTACATGAGGTTTTTAATGTATAAAAAAGTAAAAATAAGCCAGGCACCAAAGGCTCACACCTACAATCCTAGCTACTCTGAAGGCTGAGATCTGAGAATGACAGTTTGAAGCCAGTCCAGGCAGGAAAGTCCATAATACTCTTATCTCTAATTAACCAACAAAAAGGCAGAAGTGGACTCCTGGCTCACATTGTAAACATCAGACTTGTGCACAAAAACTCAGGGCTACAACACCAAGGGCCTTTGTTCAAGCCCCAAAAACAGCATAACAAAAAACAAAACAGAAGAAATACAAAAGAATTCATTATACATATTCATACATAGACATAGTCAAAATAATGTCATGATAGAACATTCCAATTTTAGAATCAATTTTTAAATTATAGTAAGTAAAAGTTATAGAATTCTTTATCCCAATTGGAATTATGAGTCATAAATGTATCCAAAAGGAAAAAACTAGGAAGACATTGGTAAGGAAATATGTAATGATAGGCATGTTTTAAGGGAGAGCCTTTGTTTTAGGCTACAATTTAGGACAGGGAGCAAACACTATATTTTACTCTTACTATTATGGTTATAAATGGTTCCCTCATGTCACCATGAAGTATGAATACTAGGTCTTCATCAATCCTAATCATTGTTCATGTGCAGATAAAAACATAGAGATCTGTATTTTTATATTATTATTATTATTATCAGCAGCAGCAGCAGCAGCAGCATTATCATCCATTGTAGGGCTTAAACTCAGGGCCTAGGCACTGTCCCTGAGCTCTTCTGCTAAAGGCTAGTGTTCTACCACTTTGAGATTCAGTCCACTTCCAGGTTAAGTCTCCCAGATTTTCCTGCCCAGGGCTGGCTCTAAACCACAATCCTCAGAGCTCAGCCTCTAGAGTAGCTAGGATTACAGAGCCACCCATACCCAACTAGGGATCTGTGTTTCTAATATGAAGCACCTTTATATGTCATCCTAAAGCATTTTATTATACTTTATTAAAGCATCAAAAGTACATCTCTTATTGGGCACCAGTGGGCTCATGCCTGTAACCCTTGCTAATCAGGAGGCCGAGATCTAAAGATTGCAGTTGGAAGCCAGCCTGGGCAGGAAAATCTTATCTCCATTTAACCAGAAAAAAAGCTAGTAGAGGTGTGGCTCAGGTGGTAGAACACTAGCCTTGCATTAAAAAACATCATGGGGGATGGGAAGATGGCTCAGTGGTAGAGCGCTTGCCTTGCATGCATGAGGCCCTGGGTTCGATTCCTCAGCACAACATAAGCAAAAAGAAAAAAAGCTGGAAGTGGCGCTGTGGCTCAAGTGGTAGAGTGCTAGCCTTGAGCTGAAGAGCTGAGGGACAGCGCCCAGACCCAGAGTTCATGCCCCAAGACCAGACCAAAAAAATAATAAATAAATAAATAACATCAGGGACAATGCCCAGGTCCTGAGTTCAAGTCCCAGAACCAGCCGGTAGGAAAAAAGTACATGTCTACTTTACATTTAATGGTTTATAAAATTAGGAAAACAAACTGTCCTCCCTTAATCAAAACTATTTAAGCAGCTGGGGGCTGGTGGCTCACGCCTGTAATTCTAGCTACTCAGGAGGCTGAGATCCGAGGATTATGGTTCAAAGCTAGCCTGGGCAGGAAAATCCATGAGACTCTTATCTCCAATAAAGCACTAGGAAACCAGAAATGGCACTGTGGTTCAAGCAGTAGAACGCTCGCCTTAAGTTGAAGAGCTAAGCACCCAGGCCCAGAGTTCGGGCCCCAACCAACCGAAAAAAATAAAATAAAAATAAAGCTCATATAATTTTGTTTTTGTTTTACCACTGAGCCACCTTCCCAGCCCCAGCTTTATGTTTTTTAATCTGATAAAGTAACTTAAAAATAAACAGCTACTCCATGCAAAACTTAATGCAGTAACTTTGTCATTTGATCCTAAGTCATTAACACAATTCCTACATTTTTTTCGGGGGGGAGTCCGGTCATGGGGCCTGAACTCTGAGCCTAGGCGCTGTCCCTCAGCTCTTCAGCTCAGGGCTAGTGCTCTACCACTTGAGCCACAGCACCACTTCTGGCTTTTTTCTTTTTGCTTATGTGGTGCTGAGGAATCGAACCCAGGGCCTCATGCATGCAAGGCAAGCACTCTACCACTGAGCCACCTTCCCAGCCTTCTACATATTTTATAATCTTATCCTATATTCAGTATGACAGGCAATGGAATACCACAGAATTCTGTAATAGTATAGTTATATTAGCACTACTAACACTTTTCTCTTTACAGTAAACATTCAATTATGTTCTTAAGTAGGTGTTATGTTTAACTCATTTTCTGGCTAAGAGTTAAATTTTTTTCTTGTGTATCAATTACCATCAGAACTTATTTCTAAAATGTACTATCACCCTTTAGCCAACACGATGAACAAATTAATGTTTCAGAAGATGATGTTGACACCTCAGTCATCATCAGAACCACCTTAAATCATGGCTCTGTACTGCACAGCGATAAGGTGGTTAAGGATTTACCTACCTACAACTTTAACAACCTGAAAGTGTATATGTGTGAGTGTGTGTGTGTGTGTGTGTGTGTGTGTGTGTGTGTGTGTGTGTGTCCGTCGGTCGGTCGGTCCTGGGATCTGAACTCAGGGCTTGAATGCTGTCCCTAAGCTTTTGTATCTAGTGCTCTACCAGTAAAGCCACAGCTTCACTTACAGTTTTTTGTTGGTTAATAGGAGATAAGACTCTCATGGATTTTCCTGCCCAGGCTGGCTTCAAACTACCTTCCTCATATCTCAGCCTCAGCTAAAATAACAGGCATGAGCCTCCAGTGCCTCACTGGAAGGTAGTCTTGTTCTTCGTATTTAACCAAGAGGTGCTTATTTGTGTTTTTCTTCATTAAAACAGCATAGAAAACAATCTGATTTAGTTTCAGTTAGTTAAGGTTTTCACTCTTCACTTAGCATGTCAGGAGAGGGCCAACTAACTGTATCCAGATGTTGATAGTAGTGATCACAATGCTAATAGTATCCATTTGTAACACTTTTTGACATCCCCACATTCATCAACCTTGAAATCTAAAGTTACAAGTTCATTCAGTGAGTGATGGCTATTTCAAAAATGTAAGGGTTTTTTGCCTCCTAATTTTACAAAATCTCTTTTCTTTTTCTTATTCAGCTTTCTACATGGTACACTGTCCAATTCAATTATGTTAAAAATTAATTACTTTTGAAAGTATTACAACATCTCTACAAATAAATGGGCTCTTCTCAGTGAGAGAAGAAAGGAAAAACCAAATTTGGGAAGCAACACTTTTCAGGCCTTTTTTTTTTTTGGGGGTCCGGTCGTGGGGCCTGAACTCTGGGCCTGGGCGCTGTCCCTCAGCTCTTCAGCTCAAGGCTAGCGCTCTACCACTTGAGCCACATCGCCACTTCCGGCTTTTTGCTTATGTGGTGCTGAGGAATCGAACCCAGGGCCTCGAGTATGCAAGGCAAGCACTCTACCACTGAGCCACCTTCCCAGCCCCTCAGGCCTTTTCTAATACCCATATTTTGCTTTCCAATTATCGTTCTTCTAGGACTTCCTTTCATGAAATTATAATTACACAAGTATTTCCTATACTTTCTTATGTAATAAGCACATTAACTAGGTAGGAATAATTATAGGAAAGTCTGGCAAATCTTTGCTACAGAAATATTGTATAAACAATGGAACACATTTTTTGGTAGAATATGACAAAGACATATGGCTCACTAGGCAATAAAAAAATGGGACCAACAAACCCCTAAACTGAATACTATGTATGGAATAAACAAAAGCTAAATAGAATTGATCATGTTTCTCTTAGAACATGAAAGTACAATCACACTCCAAATAATAATGCTCTGCTCGATGACAGACCACATATACAAGAGTATATGTATAGACCATTACCAGCCAATTAATTCTAACAGGTACATACTACAGTGCACAATGGTGAAATTGCCTGATAATGCATTTCTCACAATTATCCTGTTCCTAAGTACAAAATGAGTGCAATTGTTTCTGTATTATCAAATAACAAAGCTAGAACATCAAAATACATTTTCTCTTAAATGTTTTCTTTTTTTTTTTTTTTTTTTTGGGGGGGGGGGGGGAAGGGTTGGTCATGGGGCTTCAACTCTGGGCCTGGGCACTGTCCTTGAGCTCTTCAGCTCAAGGCAAGCACTCTCTATCACTTGAGCCACAGTGCCACTTGTGATTTTCTGGTGGTCAATCGGAGATAAGAGTCTCACAGACTTTCCTGCCTGGGTTGGCTTTGAACTGTGATCCTCAGATCTCAGCCTCCTGAGTAGCTACAATTACAGGCATGAGTTACCAATGCCCAGCAACTTTTTATTTTTATGATGAAAGCATGGGCATTAATTTATCATGACATGAACATACCATATAAAGAAAGTCGTAACAGAGGTCTATACTTCTACTATAACTGACTTCATTTTGGCAGGATCTTCTAAATTTAAACTGTATAAAGTAATTACAAGGCTTGTACTGATACCACCATGAAAACGAGTACTAATAAAATTAAGTGTAGCCAGGCACCAGTACCGGTAGCTCAAACCTGTATCCTAGCTACTCCGAAGGCTGAGATCTGAGGATCGTGGTTCAAAGCCAGCCTGGGCAGGAAAGACCATAAGACTCTTATCTCCAATAAAGCACTCAGAAAACCGAAGTGGCACTGTGGCTCAAGTGGTAGAGCACTAGCCTTGAGCTGAAGAGCTGAGGAACAGCACCCAACCCAGGCCAAGAGTTCAAACCCCATGACTGGAAAAACAAAACAATAATAATAATAAATAAAAAATAAAATTAAATATAACCACTCTGTGTGCTAACTTCATTGGTAAAACAGGAATAATGGTTCTTCCTTCATGAGCTCTGGAGGATTAAACTTAGATGAATTGTGTTCATTGCTTAGCACTGTGTCCAACATATAGTAAAACCTCCATAAACACATGCTGGTATTACGCCTTTTTTTTTCAGGTCCTGTGGCTTGAACTTAGGACCTAGTTGTTGTCCCTGAGTTTCTTTTGCCAGTTGAGCCACAGCTCCATTTTCAGTTTTTTTGGTAGTATAATGGAGATAAGAGTCTCACAGACTTTCCTTCCCAGGCTGGCTTCAAATTGCAATTCTCATAGCTCAGCCACTTGAGTAGCTAGGATTACAGGCATGAGTCACTACACCCAGTGTATTATGCATTTTTACCTAAAGATGTTTGGGCCTGTAACTTACAAAAACTACAAACCTACTTTTAGAATAATTAGCAGGTCGAATACAATTTCTTTGGAGAAAGACAAAACAAAACAAAACAAAAAACAACCTGCTCCAATTCAGTATTTTCCATCTTCTTTTGGTGAAAAAAAAAATGACATCACTTTTTTTTTTTTTTGGTGGGTCGTGTGGCCTGAACTCTGGCTTGGGCACTGTCCCTGAGCTCTTCAACTCAAGGCTAGGGCTCTATCACTTGAGCCATAGCGGCACCTCCGTCTTTTTCTGCTTATGTGGTGCTGAGGAATCGAACCTGGGGCCTCATGCATGCAAGGCAAGCGCTCTACCACTGAGCCACCTTCCCAGCCCCCATCACTTTCTTTTAAGAAAAAAAAAAAAAAAAAGATGATTCAGAGTCTATATAGATAGGGCCAAATGTGACATGGAAATGGCCAAAACACACTACATCCTTAACAGTTCAGCTTAGTTGAAACATTTAGGATTTGAGAAAGTATTTCTAATTAATGCTCAAAAGAGGAGCTGGTTACAGAACAAACAATATCTAATAACATTGTTTAATGTGAGACTTTTTGCCTAAGGAGTCATTCATTTCAAGTACAAAGATACCCGAGGATGAGAAGAACACAAATGACTTGTGGAGTCCATTAGACCTGTGCTAAAGCACTGCTTAATAGAGGGCATAATCACTAGACAGCAGAAGAACAATGTCTATTTTTACTGTTACCCTATCTCCATTTCTAACTCACCTCTAAAGATCACCAGCCCACAATAATAAAAATTACAATTAGCAACACACGGCTGTTTTAACCCCCATTGTTCACCAGTCTCATCCATGTATACCTGTGTATTTTCAGAAAACCAGTTTAAAAAATTTCAAAACCAAGACTTTTTCATCGTTCTCCAAAAATTACAATGAGCAAGTACAATATCCTCCAATTCAGTCGTCTAATGACACACGATCAAATAGAAATATGTTGGTCGAGCGCCCCGTAACACCGGAGAGACACCTTTCGGTTCAGTGACAATATGACCAAACGCCACCAAAAGAGAGAGAGAGAGAGAAAAAGGCTAAATATTTACCACTACCGACAGGAAAGTACTCAGATAACTAACCCACTTTTCCATTCCTAACGTCAAATTCTCAATCTGGAGAGAGGTTTAGCTGCGCTTAAACCCCTTTCAATCAAGGGGGGGGGGAATCCACCGGCACACGAGCCTCGGGCAGCAGCCAGGGTGCCCGGCACCACCAACAGGGAGGAGGAGGATGAAACCGAGGTTACACCATCTCTCGGCTTCAGACTGGGGGGCGTGTCCCCCAAGGTTTTCGCTTGCTTTCTACCAGAACCACAGCCGGGAGCGCCGCAAGGAGAACCCAGAGACACACGGCACAGGCGGGGACCCCCCAAGATTTGGGGGAAGGGGTGGGGAGGAAAAGAGCAAACTGTGAGGTGCTCCATAGGTGCAGAGGAAAACACGCTCGGTGCGGCGTCGGGGTGGGGGCGAGAGCCCGGGCCATCCCGGGAAGCCCAGCGGGCAGCGCTCCGCGCCCCCCCCCCCCGCTCACCCCTCGGCCCCAGCCCCCGGCACCCCACCCTCGGGGAGACCGGGACGCGCCCCGGGAGCATCCGAAGGTGCAAATCAGGTGGGGGAGACGGCGGGTCCCGAGGCTCCCGGGGTCTGGACGGGGCGGGAGGGAGGAATCCTCTGTACCCGTTGTTCTCCGCACAGCAGCAGCTCCGGGTAACTGAACTCCACGCAGCTCTCGTCCGTGGGGTCCTTGAGCTCCAGCTCCAGCCGCACCGTCTCCCTGGGCGGCCGCGGCGGCCGCTCGGCCCGGGAGGCCGGCTCCCGCGGCGGAGGCGGCTGCAAGGGCAGCGGCGGCGGCGGCGGCGGCGGCGGCTCCGGCCGCGGCGGCTCCCGCTGCAGCGACATGGGCGGCTCGGCGCGGCTGACCTCGCGCTGGGGGAGCGGCTTCTCCCGCGGCGGGGGCTGCGCGTCCGGGCGGGGGGCCGGCTCCGCCCGGGCCGGCTCGCGGAACGGCTGCGGCTCGGGCCGGGGGGGCTCGCGGGGCGGCTCGGGCTCGCGCTCGGCCCCCGGGAACTCGGGCTCGCGCCGCCGCACCGGTGACAGGCTAATGAACGCTACCCTGCGCGGCTCCGCCATCCCCACTGTTCTGGCCCTCCGCTCGCGCTCCGGCCGGCGCTCGCTTCCTCGCCGTGCTGCGCGCGACCCGTCCGCCCTTCCGCTTGCTCTCCGTCGCTCTTCTTCCCTCCTCCACCCTCAGCCGTCTCCGCCGGCGCCACCGTGAGTGCGGACCGTGTCCCCTTCCCCGCTACTATGTTCTGGTGGGCTCCACCGCCATCGCTAGGGTCGCCGCAGCCGCCATGTTGGAACCCCCACATAAATAGAAGCAGGCCGCTGAGCGGGCGCATGCGCACACCGGAGACGCTCGCGTCCACAGTCGTGGCTGTTGCTCAGTTTTCCTCTTTTCCTCTCTACAGCCCGGAGTCCAGGCCGGCCGGCGGAAGTGACGTCACGCCACGGCCTGTTACTGTGGAGACGGAGACGCCGTCTGCGCTTTTTTTTTTTTTTCCCTGCGAGGGAGGGGTCTGGGGTTTCCCGTGTGGCTTCCTATTGGCACCCGGAAGCCGGGGCGCGCCACCGGCTCTCCCGGGCGAGCTGGGAGATGTGCCTGGGACCAACCTATGCATGGCTCCCGGTCCCGCCCTGCGTTTGCCCTCCGCTCCCTAGAACTTCGCAGGGACTTGACTGTTCCAGGCGGACGCCCGGAAAGGGAAGAGGATCCTGTGGATCCGCGGTCGTACCTGGCTGGCTGCAGCCAAGCTGGCCCCCAGGCCTCCCTCGGCCTCGCCGGCCTCCTCCCGCCTCCCCTTCGAGACCCACGCCGGTGTTGGTGTAGCTCGCCCGGCCGCCATGGGCACCGTTTGTAAAATGCACAGTAACCCGCCCGAGTTGAAAACTTGAACAAGCAAATAAACGGTTCCGAATGTATGCGTAAGGCCCAACCTGTTGAAAGCAATGGAATCCGAACTTCGTTGGAGGGTTTAATGGAGTTTTAGAGGATTTGTCCCTGAAAGGGTAAATGATCCTTCTCACGGTGGGGAGGAGCGTACCTGTGCTACAGGAAATTCCGACATTGCAGATGAGAATTACTAGCCGTTTGAACGCATTGACAGTAAATTGAAGGCTACTCCATCCACATCCTCGAGTGAACCCAAGCCTCCTGTAAGTCGCATTTAACTACAGTAACTCTTGAGGACTCTGAGTTAGTGACGTCAGAGACATTTTTAGTAGGTTCAGAGTTTTTTTGCCAAGGTTTTGTACCAAAGAGGCAATGCAATGATGATTTCAAAGTCATGCTAGCTCTCTAAGGTTAATATTATTCCCCCATGGCATCACATTTTAGCCCCATCTTCCTTTCCCAGGCTTCTGATTCCTAGTAGGGTCTATTTTTGGACTGGCAGACTAGCACCTAGATGACCTTGGCCTCAGACTCTTCTATTCCATCAGTCTGACCATGTGGTCCTTGTAAAATGCTTCTAAAAACACATTTGTTATATCATTTTCTATCTAAGCTAGAATTTACATGCAAAGTAAAGTCTTCCACACGAACCTAGAGAATACTGACTGATGTCCAGGGGACTAAACCATTCTATGGGGCTGTCACTCTGCCAACATTATCTTCTGTTATCTTCTAGCACAATGGGGTGTTTTTCCAACTTTATGAAATAGAATCCCTTTATGAAATAGATTCGGCGTTGCAAACCAGTGTACACACATGTACCTAGTAGAAATACAAGTTTCTTAATATTTACCTGTGTAGGAGGTTAGAAAAAAATTTTTTATAATACAATGTAGAAACAAATCATCTTTACCTTCTGCTCCAGTACCAGAAAGTTGGGGTGTGAGCCGAGTTTTCCAGAGCTCCCTGAAAGAGGGACAGGATCTTGCAGAGCCACAGCTGTGCCTTGAAAAACACAATACCCAGGGAGGAAAGGAAAGAGCAATATCATCTTGTAAATGGTACAGAAACAAATTTGGAAAGATTTTAAGTTAATGATACATTGGTAGGTTTATTGCAATTCAGAATGTATGAGGACATGCACATCTGGTCTGGTAATGAACTTTTATCTTTTACTGTATTTATACATGGGTGAAAATGAAACTCCTAATTCACATATCGAGGCAGTTATGGATCACAACAGTGTGTCTGTGAACTATATTTTTGTTGTTACATATATCTGGCACAAATGTTACTCAACTTGAAGTAGTAGCTTCTAATGATCTGTGGTAACCAACTGATATGTTATCACCAAGTAGTTTCTCATTTGTCAGTCTGATCATTTATTTTGTCACCAAAAAGTTTATAAACCATATCCATCAATGCTGGATAAGGAAGAGGTCCTAGTGTGATCCATTATTTCTTTTGCCACATCAGTAAGCAACTAAATGCAAAGATTGTCCTTTTTAGGATTTGTAGAATAGTGAGATTTGTTTTTTAGGCCCTAGTGGCTGTCTCAGAGCTTTTGTGCTTAAGGCTACCATTCTACCACTTGGAGTCACAGCACCATTTCCAGTTTTCTGGTGGTTAATTGGAGGTAAGAGTCTCACACACTTCCTTGCTCAAGTTGGCTTCAAACTGCATCTTCAGATCTTAGCCTCCTGAATAGCTAGGATTTCAAGAACAAGCCACCATTGCCCAGCCTGAAGTTTTTTTGTTTTTTTGTTTTTTTTTTTTTGGGGGGGGGGGGTGTTCTTGAGGCTTGATCTCAGGGTCTAGGCACTGACCCTCAGCTCTTCAACTCAAGGCCAGTGCTCTACCACTTGAGCCACAGCGCCATTTCCAGTTTTCTGGTGGTTTATTGGAGATAAGAGTCTCATGGACTTTACTGCCTGGTCTGGCTTTGAACTATAATCCTCAGCTCTCAGCCTCCTGAATAGTTAGGATTACAGGCATGAGCCACCAGCACCCAGTGAGATTTTTATGCCAATACTTTACATCTCTTCTAGAACCTTATTGGTAAGGTAATTTATAGTTTCAGATGTCCTTTTAATTTTATAAGCTTCCATTTACATGGAAACATTATTTTCCTTTTTTTTTTTTTTTGTCAGTCGTGGGGCCTGAACTCTGGGCCTGGGCACTGTCCCTCAGCTCTTCAGTTCAAAGCTAATGCTCTACCACTTGAGCCACCAAACCACTTCTGGCTTTTTCTGCTTACATGGTGCTGAGGAATCGAACACAAAGCCTCATGCATGCGAGGCAAGCACACTACCACTGAGCCACCTTTCCAGCCCCATTATTTTCCTTTTTAAAATGAGCTGTAATGTCAGTGTTTACTGATTAGAGTAAACATTTTCTTCATATTTGTTATTCTAGATCCAGCAGCTAAACTCAGACATGCTTCAGTATTTTTCACTTTTTTATTCCTCAGCTAATAAAACAACTTTTTGCAGCAGTAGAATTCAATAAACATTATATTGAACTATACAACTTGTGAGTGGGGATGGGAGGAAAAATGTAGGAGAGAGCAAGGGAAGGGGTGATATTGTCCAGAAAGGAATGTACTCTTTACCTGACAAATGTAACTGCAACTCCTCTGTACATCACAAAATAAATTGGGGGAAAAAACAACTTTTGAGACTCATTTGGATCGACTTCAGTAATACATCATAACCAACACATGTATATCGTCCTGATGACATTCCTTTTCCCCTCCCAGAGTTCTTCACTAGAACTCAATTGAAAGTTCTGCGCTTTCTATCAATAAATAAAATTCCTATGTACTTCATTTTCTAATACTTTAAGGAGTGTTAGATTTTACAATAGTCTATGACAAGCAAATAAACAGGAATTCCAGTGGAGTCTCTTCTTCCTGCCTGACTGGAGCCCAGATCTTTACCAACAGTTCAACTGTAGCAGTTCCAGATAAAGAATAGCCTGGTGCATTTTGATACTTTCTAGTAGCGGTAGTCATCAGCTAATTGTATCCATGAACTCTGCAGCCATGAGAGCACAAAGATGATGGCTGGATTTGGCAAAGGGTCTTTCTTGGTGACCCTGATGAACTTGAAAAAAAAAAAATCTTTTTACTGCAGGAAACTAAGGTTGAACTCAGGGTCTGTTTTGCTTAAGGTTAGCCCTCTCTACCACTTACTTGAGCCACAGCTCAAGTTTAGGCTTTTTATTAACTGGAAATAAGAGTCTCAGACTTTACTGCTCTGGGTGGCTTTGAACAGAAACCCTCAGCCTCCGGAGGAGCTAGGATTTCAGCCATGAGCAGTTAATCTTGATTGTCAATTGATTGGATTGAGAAGCATCAAGGAGATTAAGTCACACTTCTGGGTCTGTCCCTGAGACAGAAACCATTTCCAGAGAGGATTAACTTGTGAAGAAAGAGACTCGCCCTCAATGTGGGGCAGGTCCCCTAGGCTGGAGCCCAAACAGAATGAAAGGGGGAAAGGAGAGAGCCTACTTAGTACAGGCCTTCATTCCCTCACTCTCTCTCCATCTCCTCCCTTTCTCTCTCTCTCTTCCTACCTCCTCTCTTCTGTCCTCTTCTCTCCCTTTTACCCTTCATCTTTTTGTCTTTCCTCTTTCTCCTCTCTCTCGTTTTCTCTCTCTCCCTCTCCCTCTCTCTCCTTCCTATGTCAGCTGCATGCCTTTCTTACCAAAATAAATCCTTGCTTCCTTAAAATGTCTTTTCACACACTTGATCACAGTGATAAAAAACTTTAAAACACACACATAGCCTGAGTAGAATCCCATTCCTTTGTTTTGGTACAGTTCTATACCCAGCCCAATCAGCAAGGTGAGAAAGGGTTGAATTTAAGAACTTCTGGTGAGGAACCTGGTAGCCAGTGTACCTGATGTCTACACTATAAGATGGCAGAATAAAACTTAGCTAATGGTAAAATGTGAGTCACAGTTATGGCCTACTTATATATAAATATATACTGCTAGGAGGAAATATATATACTGTTAGGAAAATATATATACTGTTAGGAGGAAAAGAGTCCACCACTCAAGAGACAGGCTCCTGTAAAAAGATGACTTTATTGGGGGAGTGGATAGCTGACTGGCCAGGGAGGCAACACAGATTCAGGAGCTGAAACTGCGGTCCCCAGCCGCCTACAAGCTAGGGTTTCTTAAAAGGCAAAATCCATGCAGTCCGGTCTGCCCACACCAGGTGACCAATGGGTTTTTAGTCATGTCAGGCCACACGCAGGTGGCCAATAGAGTTACAGTCTGCCTTAAAGTAGCTGTTAAACTAACCTATCATTTTGGATTGAATTGGTGTGCAAATTTGGCGGACAAAAGGCGGGGTTTACATTGGGGGGGGGGGGCAAAAGCGTATTTCCTAAACCTGAGGTGTTTGTGAGAAACTGGTATTTTGATTCTCAGGGGCAGGGCAAACTCCTAGTGCATTAAAGATGGAGTCAGTTTGGGGTCCCCTTAAGACTAGGAGACCCTTCCCTAACACTAGGAGACCCTTCCCCCCTACAATACCAAGTATAAAACCCTCCAGAAAGGACAGAACATCTAAGAAATCAAGTATATTGCACAAGAGCTAATGATCTCCCACCCCCATTAAAAACAGAGAAACTCAAACACTGACTAGGGAGATAGGTTTAGTGTTACTTGAAGTGGTATA